CTCCAATTCTAGAGAATTTTTTGTTCAGTTTTCCTTTATATTTTTTATGTACAGAGCGCAAAATAAAAAAAATGGACCACCCTGAATAACTTTTGATGCGAAGATTGGATCTTTACGTTCTAGGTCTCAATTTTAATGTTTCGAAGGGGCGAATACGGTAGCTAATTAGTGCATACGATATTTTAAGTTACAAAATAAGATACAAAAACATACTTTCTCTGAATAAACATACATTTGTTTAGACGGATTCAGATTTTGAATCCGTTGAAAGAGGTGTGTTTTTTCAGAGAAAGTAAGTTTTTGTGACTAATTGCGTAACCTGAAATATCCTCTTCTCTAATTAATTAGTATATTTGAGGTCACCCCCTTGAACCATGATGATTGAATCTTAGAACGTGAAGATCCAATCATGCAATCAAAAGTTAATTAGGGTGGTCCGTTTTTTCGTTCTGTACTTTTATTATTTGTATATGTTACGGTGAAACACCGAAATCTGGAGAATATCGACATTCTCCGGTGAATGTCAACATTCACGTAGTCGCTTGGTGTATGTCCGAAATATTTGCTAAATATCTTTATTTTTGACTCTCACCGGTGAATGTCAACAACCACATAGTCGCTTTGGTGAATGTCCGAAATATTTGTTATATCCAATTTTATATTCATTTATTTGTTAATATTATTATATTTATTTGGTATATTTATATTTATTCTATATTTTAATACTCGCGGACGATAGATTAGAAGAAACATCAGTGTTTGGAATATCGTACAAATACGTACCGGGCAATGGCACTTGATCTTAAAAAACATCAGTGTAGAGTATACCGAGCAAATGTATACCGGGCAGTGGCACTTAACCTTAAGAAAACATCAGTGTAGGGTATACCGGGTAGTGGTACTTAACCTTAAAACATCAGTGTAGGGTATACCGGCAAATGTATACCGGGCAGTGGCACTTAACCTTAAAAAAACATCAGTGTAGGGTTAAAATATCGAATAAATGTAATTATATCCACGAATAAATTCATATCAAATCGAATGTAATAAATACTTCGCACATTCTCCAAAGCATATCTGTGATTGTCGACATAATCCAGTGAGGGTCCGAATGTACAAGAATGTAATGAAATATTCGATCTTTCACCGATTTGGTGTTTGTCGACATTCACCGGTGAAAGTCAACAACCACCGATTTCGGTCTTTCGCCGTGACATATATATTAATAGTGATTTTAAGTGTCAAAACCATTGAACCCAAATATTTTTCGCAATATTGACAATTTAATATAAAATACAAAACATATGCTTAGCGTTTATTTATCTGTTTCTGAATCATTCACTTAATAAATGTATTTCGTATTTGTAATAGGAAGGGAGATACATAGATTAAGAGTATTAAGAGTATATGCATCACTTCTAACTTTAGAGCATTTATATTCATTAGCGAAAAATTGAGAAAAATCTCAAACTGACGAAATTACTTAGAGTTCTTAACGGCAAACAAAACTCTGGTAAAATTACCACACTATGGGGTAAAGACATTTCTAGCGAAAAAAAACCCCATAGATCTGGTAAATAAACCTAATTTTTCTGTTTATATGATAACGGTTACCTGTCTGGTTTTCAAAATTTTAATTCTTATTACTACACAATTAGTAAAAAAAAATACAAATCTGAAAAGCAAACTTTACCGAATAAATAGTTTTTATGCCACATTCTGAGATATCTTTAAAAAAATAGAAAAATTTTGGCTTCAACTATCAAATTTCAACACGTACTTTATTACTAATTTGTCCAAAATCATTATGAAAGTTATTCGGTAAAAAAATACCGAGTTTCTTGATGTTCTCATAGAACCAGAAACACTGTAAATTTTCACCAAATACTGATAGTTTTGACCATCCTTTTTTTCCAGTGAAAACATTTGTCTGTAAAATTTAAATGAAGCTTCGATCCACAATTTTTTTCTGTATCTTTTTAGAAGCATTAGTTTATTTTAATTTAAGATTTTTGTATAAATTGTATATAGAAATACAAATAAAAAAATATGAAGTTCTCTGCAAGCAACGTTAGCAAGTTAGATATCAAAGCAGTTTTGACATCAAAAGTAGTGTACGGAGTTTCAAAATTGTTCCTCAAAATAGAGTCTTAATACTTCAAAGAATAAATTTAGTGATAGCATGGCACAGAGTGTTTGATCTTTTGCAATTTCGAGAGCTTACTAAATTAATTTTGTTTTGAATATTAGTTTTTTACAGAGAAAATCCTGCATCCGTTGAAATATTTTTAAAAATAAATAGTGCATGCATGATTTAAGCAAAAATTTTTTCTTTAATTATCATCAACAATTTTTGTTTGCTATAGATTCCTTTAAATGATAGATATTTCAAAAATTGAGAAGCGAAGCATTTTTTCGGGTAAATTTTTAATAAGTCACATAAATGATTCTTACATAAATTCTAAAATAAATTCTTAAGTAAGTTACAAAAATACGTTCTTAAAAAGTTCGAATGTAAAAGAAAATATTTATACGTTGTTTAAATAATATTTTTTACATTGAATTAATTAAAAATCAACCTACAAAAAGTAAAATCAAAATAATCATAGCGTTTCATGTCTCAAATTTTTTTCTTGTATTTCAAAGAACTAAGCAACAAAGACTATCTTCTAGATATAAAGATTGCATTGTAATTTAGAAACGAATGTATAAATTTTCTTTACTAAATTTATTTATTAATCACAGTTTTTTTAATACATTTATAATTTGCTTGACGTTAAATTTCCTAAGCGTTCAATCATGAGTTACAGTAGGGAAAATTTATTATTTTGTTTTCTGTAGCATAAGATTTTTAAATGATCTTAGATACTTTCATATCACTTATTTCTAATTTGCTGTAGGTTTCTCTTTCTACAGTTTTAATCCATTTTCATTTGAAATTTTCAAATTTAAAAACGTATATATAATAGGTTGTCACACAAATGCTGCGAAACACTTCTAGGGTAGTATTGAATTAATTAGGGTAGTAGTTAAGGCGAATCATCAAGATTAAAATTGCAGAGGAACCTCTGCCCTGAGATGCCGTCTTACCCCACTAGGGGCATTTCTCTATAATGAACTTTTTCTTCGTGTCCTTCTGAATAGGTCAGAGAAGGGAAGCGCCACTAACCGTGTATGAGACGACATTCTCGCCTAAACTGGTTTTGATTAAATTTTTATCCGGATGATGGCTCTAACTCCCCAAAAAATTTGTCGCATCATTCACGCAGCCCCTTGTTATATATATATATATTGTTAATATTTTGTATTTGATTGCGTTTGCGGGTTTGCGTGGTTCGTATTACGAACTCATAAAGATAATGTCGATCTGATTTTAGAAAAACAACAACAAAAATAATGAATAGCGGATTAATTATTAATATGCGTTTATTAAGAACAGCGCATTGGTCTTTCTCAAGACGCAATGAAATCCAACAAGGAAGTAACTTTTTTCTAATTAATGTAGGTGGTGCTACTATTACTGCATACATACCGGCTTCAACATACCGGGCCACTTTGAAACATAGTTTCAAAATTTACACATAAATTAACAAAAACCAAAATTCAACTATACACATCTAATAAAAAGAATAGTTTTAAAAAACTAATGCAACATACATGAAATTAATATATATCATAAACAGATGTATAGATTCCTTGGTATAAACCGGATAACTAACGCAAAGCAAAAAGAGAAGTCTAAAATAAAGAGAGTTAATCAGTCAATAGGTAAAACTGACAGTTTGTGAAAGGGTCTTTTATAAGTTTCAGTCTCAGTTTTGACACTGACCTTAGCGTCTGCACTAGGAAAAACTTCTTGTATACGCCCTAATTTTCACTTCAAAGGTGGAATATTGTCCTCTTTAATGAGAACTAAATCGTTAATTTTCAAATTAGACTGTACTCGCAACCACTTGGGGCGCTTCTCTAAGCTGGAAATATACTCGTTAACACATCTTTTCCAAAAATTCTGGAAAAGTTTTTGAGTCAACTGCCAACGTTTTAATGGGGGTATGTTTTCGTTAGAAGGTTCTCTTCTGGTATAGAAGAAAGAGCGGTTCGCACAAGGAAATGTCCTGGGGTAAGTGCTGGAAGTTCAGCGGGACCGTCCGACACAGGGCACAAAGGACAAGAGTTCAACCAGGATTCAATTTGCGCAGTAAGAGTTAAAACTCTTCAAGGGTCAATTTATGATCACCTATTGTTCTTTTCAAATGCGATTTTGCGGATTTAACAGCAGCTTCTCAATTTCCTCCAAAGTGAGGAGCTGAAGGTGAATTAAAGTGCCATTTAATTTGTTCATCGGCAAAATACTGATGGATGGATTCTTCTTTTTGAAGATATTTAACCACTCGATTAATTTCCTTATTTGCAGTAACAAAATTTGAACCACAGTCTGAAAATAATTAATTTGGTTTTCCTCTTCGCGCAACAAATCTTTTTAAAGCTGCAATAAATGATTCAGCAGATAAATTTCCAACAACTTCGATGCGCACCGCTTTTGTCGCGAAACACACAAAAATACAAATGTACATTTTAACTGATCTGACTCCACGTCCAGATCACGGTTTTACAAGAAATGGACTTGCATAATCCAGACCAGTCTTGGAAAATACTCCAGAAGGCGTTACTCTTGAAGGTGGTAATTGAGCCATTATCTGTGTCGCGGTTTTTTCTTTTAATCGAAAGCATTTTATGCATTTCCAGATTTGCTTTTTTATAACTGATCTAGCATTTACTATCCAAAATTCTTTGCGAATAACTGATAATAGTAAAAGTGTTCCAGGATGCAAGAAGGATTCATGCTAGTGAATTATAATTAGATTAGTTAAGTGATCATTTTTCGGAAGGAGAATAAGATGTTTTCTTTCATTCGATAATTGTGTATTTTCTAACCTACCGCCAACACGGATAAGGCCATTTTCATCCAAAAACGGATTCAAGGAGAGGATCTTACTACTCTAAGAAATTGGTTTGCTATTTTTTAGCTGGTGATATTCGCGTAGAAATTCTTGTTTTTGGACTATTTTGACCAAAACGTTTCTAGCTAGTTTTATCTCACTACTAGTTAAATAACCATTTATGCGATTGTTCGGAGATTTACAGTTCATTATGAAGCAGAGACACCAAGCTATAATTCTTTTTAACTTAACATATGATGAAACATTGTAAATGATCGGAAAGTCAATAGGAGTTGTTTCAATCAAACACGATGTCTTTTTGCTTTCTTCTTTGAGAGCGTCTGTTGAGAGAGAGATTTCCTCCAAATGAGATATGTCGCCACTATTCATCCATTGCGGACCTGACCACCATAAATCAAAATTAACTAGTTCATTTGGTGGAAGTCCTCTACTAGCGCAATCAGCAGGGTTTTGACCAGAGCTGATATGATTCCAATGTTGAACTGGAAGAATAGACTGAATTTCGGAAACACGATTGGCAACAAAAATTTGCCAACGTGATGGCTCAGATTTCAACCAAGCAAGAACTATAGTTGAGTCTATGAAAGCGCGTACTGCGTCAATTTGAAAAGTCAAGGACTTGAGGACCGTTTGTAAAAGGTGCACTAATAAAACGGCTGAACAAAGATCAAGGCGCGGTATTGATATTGTTTTCAATGGAGCGACGCGTGTTTTGGATGTAAGTACACTAATCTGTGTAGTGGTTATGGTAGATGATTTCAAGTATACGAGTATAACTGCAGCGTATGCCTTTTCCGACGCATCACAGAAACAATAAAGTTCAAATCCTGATGGGGAGTACAGAAGAACTGTTCTAGGTACAGTTAACGTAACTTGGGAAATATCTACTCGATATTTAATCCATTTCTCTTTAATATCCTGGGGCACTGGATCATCCCAAGCCAACTGATGCTTCCATAATTCCTGAATCAGAATTTTTGCCGTTATGATAATAGAGGATAACCATCCCAGTGGATCAAAGATTTTTGACACACATGACAGGATGGACCTTATTGTAGGATTTTCATCCTTAAAATCATCACAAAAGGAAATGTTGTAGGTAAACTCATCCTGTTTTGGGTCCGATCTCAGCCCCAGCACCTTAATAAATTTAGAGTCAGCAGTCCTACATGATGCATTGTCAATACTTTTAGATTGACTTAAAAAATTCAAAACAGAAAGACTATTGGTAAACCATTTGTGAAGCTCAAATTTTCCTTTTCTCAACAACTCACTAAGTACATTTTTTAATGCAACGGCTTCGTCAGCACTTTCTGCTCCAAACAAGCCGTCATCTATGTAAAAATTATGTAAGACTGAATTAGCTGCTTTAGGAAAGTCCAATCCTTCATCGATGACTAATTGTTTTAAAACTCGCGTTGCCAAATAACTGGCCGGCGCGGTACCATGTGTTATGGCACACAAGCGATATTCCCTAACTGGTTTCATAGGATCATCTCTCCATAGAATTTTTTGAAAATTACGATCTTCACTATGAATCTCTATTTGTAGATACATTTTTTGCAAATCACATGTTATCGCGATATTTTTTTATTTTTTTATTTTTTTTTTATTTAAACGACTTAAAACTCCTCATGCACCACAAAGTATAGCATGAGGCTTACAGTTGTAAGTAGAAAACAAAAAGAAGAAAAATTTATAAATTTACATTATCGCGATATTGTACCATCTAAACCTTTGAAGAATAGCGAAAAGATCGCCTTGTACTTCAGGACCATTTATTAGTGTTTCATTCAGTGATAAACCTGATGTAGTTTCTGCGCTAGCGTTAAAAACAACCCTCAATTTTGTGGTTGGACTAGAATCATTAATTACATGATGATGCGGGATAAAATAGTGCTCATTTTTGCTATTTAAATTTTGGTCATTAGTACTAATATTAAAATTATTTACTGAAAATTGTTTGGTTTTAGTGCATTCAAAAGTAGTTGCTCCGGAAATTATCCAGCCTAGTTTAGAGCATACTGTGAAAGGGAGATTTTCATCGCGTTTTATTACTTCTCCGTTAATTAATGTAAATAATACATTCACACCGCATAGAATATCAATATCTCCTGATTTTCAAAAATATGGGTCAGCTAGAACGAGATCTTGATATTTTCTAGACAAATCAATTGGTATGGAAGAGTTCGGTATTTTTCCGCAAATTTTATCAATAACATATGCGGATGTTGAGAATCTTAAATTATCATTAAAATTAGGCGAAAGTAATAAATCTACTTGACCATTACTCGAAGTATTACAACTTCCTAAACAAGAAATAGATATTTGAGCGGGATTTATTTTTAATTTTAACTTGCTGACACATTCGCGAGTAATAAAGTTTTTCTCAGATCCCGAGTCTAAGAGGATTCGATAGTTAATGGATTCGTTTTGAGAATTTATAATATTGATTGAGGCATTATAATAACAGATGGCGCTGAGCGCAAACAATTTTTTTATTATTTTTTTCTGCCCTTCTTAAGTTTCAGTTTGGATTTAGCCACTGAACCACAATGAAATAAAATCCTTTTTTGTTATTACAATTTGTGTAATTATTGTTGAATTCGAATCATGGTGCTACACCGGCCGACAATTAGGCCACCTGCATGAAATGTAAGTTAACATTTGTTTTGTTTTGGTCTCCCTTAAGTTGGTAATTCATTTTGATATTTTATTGTATTAATTGTATTGTGTTTGTTATAGTAACGTGCGAGCTGTTTATAATGGATGATTTTGAAAAATTAAAGTTCAAAAGAGCTGTAATCAGACAGCTGATTACAAAATTAATAAATAAAATTGATAAATCGTTATTAGAAACACTTCCTGATTATCCTGATTTGTATGATTCACTAAATCAGTTAATTGAAAAAAACGAAACTTTAAAGGATCTTGATTTGAAAATTGAAAATTATTTTGATAAAAGCGATGAATTAGAGAGTGAAATCATACAAAGTCAAGAGTATCAAGATCGAGTAGTGGCTTATAAAGGCAAAATTGAAAGATATTTACTGAAATGCCAGACTACAAGACAGGAAGTAACGATTAATAGTGGTAACAATAATTTACAAGAAAATATAACTTATGGAAATATCTCGCACGTTGCTAACGTTAAATTACCTAAATTGGAGATAAACAAATTTTTTGGTGATGCTTGTGAGTGGCACAGTTTCTGGAATAGCTATAACATAGCTATACATAGTAATGAGAGTCTTAAAAAAATTGATAAATTTAATTATCTTAAGATGTATTTAGGGGGAGTTGCTTTGAGTGCAATTTCTGGATTCTCATTAACTGAAAGTAATTATGATTCTTCTATTAAGTTGCTTACCGAAAGATTTGGTAGGCAAGATTTAATTATTAGTAGTCATATGAATAAACTTTTATCAATTAATTCTGTAAGAAATTCATATGATATTAAAGCTCTACGTAAGTTCTATGACGAATGTGAAATCCACATTCGCAGTTTGCAATCAATGAATGTAACAAAAGGTAGTTATGGTAATTTACTCTGTCCTGTTATTTTACAAAAGCTACCAGAGGATTTAAATTTAGATTATAATAAAAATAGAAAATCAAGTGTAGATTTTGACATTGATGAACTAATTTCATTTATTAGAAAAGAGGTAGAATGTAGAGAAGCCTCACATGTGTTGTCTAATAGTTCTAAAAAACAAAGTGTTCATTTTGAAACACAGCAACGGTCGGAGAGCCATAGTAAACATAATTATAATCGAAAGTTCTCATCTTCCTCAGCATTAGTTTCGGCATCTAACAACATATTTTGTTTGTTTTGTAATTCCAAAAATCACGAATCGAAAGATTGTTCTCTGACCATCGAAGAAAAAAAACAAATGCTAAAAGATCAATTTCGCTGTTTCCGGTGCTTAAAGAAATATCACACATCTAAAAAATGTTGGAATAAATGTATTTGCACATTATGTAAGAAACAGCATAGCGAATTAATTTGTGATAAATCAGCAATAAATAATGAGTCGAAAGAGAAAAACGATACTTTGGCATCCGTTACCGCTTCATGTGTTTCGAAACGAAAACAAAATGAAATGATCTATTTACAGACTTCTTTAGCGTATTTGATTTATGGTAATGTAAAGAAGTTCGTTAGAATTTTATTTGACTCTGGTAGCCATCGCAGTTTTTTGAAACGGGATATTTGTAATGAGTTGAACCTCAGGACCATTAAAACTGAACGGTTGCATGTTTTCGGTTTTGGAGAAAAAATTTCCAAGGGGTGTTCTTATGATTTAGTGAAAGTGAATCTTCAGCACAAAAACGATAAAAAGCATTTGTAGTAGAAAAAATAACGTGTGGGAAAATAGCTGCACCCCAAGAGAAAATTAAACAATTAGCAAGGAAAAATAATATTTTTCTTTCGGATACCGGAGAAATTGCTGATATAGACATTTTGATCGGCGCCGATTTCCTACATGACGTAATCTTTGATACGTCTTTGAGGCTGGGAAAAGGGCTCGTTGCAACCGATAGTTTATTTGGTTTTGTGGTTCAAGGGAGATTCATGAATAATTGCCAATTAAGTAGGATTGTAAACAATACTATAATATCTGATGTTGATTATTCTTTGTTTTGGAACCNGACATTTTGATCGGCGCCGATTTCCTGCATGACGTAATTTCTGATACGTCTTTGAGGCTGGGAAAAGGGCTCGTTGCAACCGATAGTTTATTTGGTTTTGTGGTTCAAGGGAGATTCATGAATAATTGCCAATTAAGTAGGATTGTAAACAATAATATAATATCTGATGTTGATTATTCTTTGTTTTGGAACCTTGAAGGATTAGGAATAAATACTATGAATGAAGAAAATGTTGATAATAAAAGTGAATTGTTAAAAGGTTTTAATTCTGATTTGCATTTTGAAAATAATAGGTATAGTGTACGACTTCTCTGGAGACCAAATACAAAACATTTGTTAAATGATAACTTTGAGCTGACTTCAGAGAGGTTTGACAAATTAAAAGGGAGATTTAAAAATGATAAATCCTTGTTTGAAGAATATAAAAAAGTTATAAAAACTTACGAAAATGAAAGGATAATTGAGAAAGTTAAAAACACAGATCCCCAAAATTATAAACAATGTTATTTACCTCATAGGGCGGTTATAAGAAACGATAAACTAACTAGCAAATTAAGGATTGTATTTGACGGTTCCGCGCATAAAAAAAATGAATTGTCTCTTTACGATTGTTTGTATATTGGGCCAAATTTATACCCAGATATATATGAACTTATGCTAGCGTTTCGGGAAAACAAGATTGCTTTTATAGGGGACGTTCAACAAGCTTTCTTACAAATAGGGATTAATGTAGAAGATCGAGATGTCACAAGATTTCTTTGGTCAGATGACCCCGATAATGATTCGTCTACAGTAATTTATAGATTTTGCCGCGTACTATTTGGTATCAACTGTAGCCCTTTTCTCTTAGCGGCTACTATTAAAGAGCATATTAAAAAGTTTGCAAAATCAACGCCTCTTGCGTATGAATTACTAAATGAAAGGGTACATGTCGATGACGTCATAGGGGGAAGTGGCAGTACAGATACAGCATTTCAAATAAGTTCTGATTGTGTTGAAATATTTCGGGATGCGGGCATGGTATTGAGAAAGCTTCAAACAAATGATAAAAAATTACGTGAATTATGGAAGAATGCAGGTATAGATGTTCAGAATGAAAAGGAATCGTTAGGTCAATCAGGCTTTCCATTTAAAGTTTTGGGAGTTTGTTGGGATCCAGAAAAAGATGTATTTTACTTTGAGTTCAAATATCTGTTAAAATTGATAGACACAGGGCAAATAACAAAACGATTTATTTTGAAAATCATAGGCCGTATTTTTGATCCAGTAGGATTTTTGGGACCCTTTACAATGCTTCTAAAATCTCTAGTTCAAAGCATTTGGATAAGCGGATTGGAGTGGGATCAAGAGCTACCCTTTGATATGGAAAATCAGTGGCGCGAAATATGTAAACAATTCGGTGAACTTAATGATTTGAAAATACCGCGTTATTATTTTTTCGAAGCAGGTAACAAAGAAATTATAAGTTCACAGTTACATATCTTCTCTGAGGGAAAACTTAAAGGGTTATGGTACAGTTGCCTATATCAGATCAGAAACTAGTGATGGGCATATTTCTACATGTTTTGTTTCAGCTAAAAGTAGAATTGCGCCCCTCAAAATGATTGCATTACCACGACTTGAGCTATTAGGTGCCCTCCTCTCTGCTAGATTATTTCGAACTATTACCAGAGCCATAAAAATTCCGTGTGACAGTTTCTTTTGGTGCGATTCCTCTATTGTGTGTTGTTGGATAAAAACTCCTGCTATTCGTTTTAAACAATTTGTGCGTAACCGATTGGAAGAAATTCAAGAGATTACTCAACCTAAAGACTGGTTCCACTGCCCCGGAATTGACAATCCTGCCGATCTTATTAGTAGAGGTGCTTCCATGGGTACATTGGAAGAAATCCGACATTTGGTGGAAGGGGCCACCTTGGTTGTCCCTTCCGACCGAAATGTGGCCAGAATTGAAACTCTTCAAAGAAAGTGATGAACAAATTGAGTATCGTAAAAATGAAATCACCGTTATGAAATGTGTAGATGGTGAAGAACTTGAGTTGATAAATATCGCTACCTTTAGCAACCTCGAAAAAGTTGTAAGAATCATGGCGTGGGTAGTGCGATATTTGAACTGTTTAAAGAAAGTTAAGCCGAATATGGACACTTTGACTGCAGAAGAGCTCCGAAATTCTGAAGATATACTAGTAAAACTTACTCAAGCAAAATTCTTTGAAAGTGAGATACGAGCTCTCCAATCTAGTTTGCCTATTCCAGCTTCTTCTACTATTTTCAATTTAGCTCCTTATCTTGATGAAAAAGGTATCTTGAGAATCACAGGAAGATTGGACGAAGGAGATTATTCTTTTGATGAGAAAAAGCCTATAATCATACCAAGACAGTCTAAATTTACAGAGTTGCCTGTCAAGCGAGAACACGAAAATGTATTTCATTCTGGAGTAGAGAGCACTCTAGTACAAATTCGGAGAAGATTTTGGGTGCCTAAAGGAAGACAATTAATAAAAAAGGTTGTCTCGAAATGTTTGATTTGTCGCAGATACACAGCCAAGCCTTCTACCCAAATGACTGGACAGCTTCCAAAAGATCCAATTAGTGAAACTCCTGCTTTTACTGTATGCGGAATTGATTTTGCCGGACCAATCTACATCAAGGGTGAAAATGGAATAAAGAAATCATATATAGCCTTGTTCACATGCGCAGTCACGAGAGCAATACATCTTGAATTAGTCTCAGACATGTCTACTTCAACTTTTCTGCTCGCATTCAGAAGATTTCTCTCTAGAAGAGGTGGTTGTCATACAATCTACTCCGACAACGCCAAGACTTTTAAATGTACTGATAAAGAGCTTCAGAGATTATTTGATATTTTGGAAAATTCCGAATTCAAAAACTTTCTTGCTGCTAAAAGAATATCCTGGAAATTCATCGTCCAACTTGCCCCTTGGTGGGGAGGATTTTATGAAAGATTGGTAAAAAGTGTCAAAGAGCCTCTAAAGAAAATACTTCGAAAAGCTCTCTTAAATTTTGAAGAGATGACCACTATATTGACTGAAATCGAAACCATCGTTAATCTTCGACCCTTGTCCTACGTCACTAACGAAATTGGTGAACCGGAAATTCTTACCCCATCACAATTTTTAACCCCTGGTAAAGAAAAGGCAGAGTATCCAGCCCATTTCATAGAAACCATCCATAGAGAATCCACCAAAAAGATTCTTATAAAAAGAAAAGAATACCAAGCTACATTATTGGCTAATTTATGGAAGCGCTGGAAGGAGCGCTATTTGTTTAATTTGAGATCTGCACACAACTTTACTTCTCCTAACCTAACAAAATGTTTGAAAGTGGGAGATGTGGTTTTGATGGAGGGCACCACAAAATCAAAACTATTATGGGACATAGGTATTATAACAAAAGTATTTCAAGGGCGTGATGGACTTGTAAGATCTTGCCTTATTCGCAAATCCAACGGCGAATATAAACGCCCAGTACAACTTATTTATCCTTTAGAACTCAATGACTGAAATGAACAATGATAAACTTTAATAGTTTATGTTTTTTTTTTATTATTTTCTTTCAAGTGAATATTTGCATCTCATTTCAAGTTTATTTGCATTTAAATGTTATTTGTTTAATATGTTTATGTTATTTTTGTCTAATTTTTATGTTTAAAATTTTAGTGAACTCGGAGGAGTTCAAGTGGGGAGTGTTGAGGATTTATAATAACAGATGGCGCTGAGCGCAAACAATTTTTTTATTATTTCTTCTCCACTTCTTAAGTTTCAGTTTTGGATTTAACCACTGAACCACAATGAAATAAAATCCTTTTTATTATTACAATTTGTGTAATTATTGTTGAATTCGAATCAATAACTATTTAGTATTAAGTGTTCATTTATTTTTATTTTGTACAGAATTGAACTCTTGAAAATGTTTAGTCACATTATCCTAGATTTCAAACACCCCAAATATGTACATTTTATTTTTTGGCCCATGTAGTCTTTTTTAAATTTTAATTAATCAGACTTCCATGAAATATGGTCTGTTTGTAAAAAAATCTCTAATATATCAATAAATTTTATTTTCCCACTTTTTATATCTAGTACGTTTGAAGAGATGTGTAATTTCTTTTTCTTCCAAAAGTGGAAAGGGGAAAAAATAATAACGAGTTATTCTATCCACTAATTGTAACATAATTTTTTTTTTCTTTTTGGACAATTTGAACTATAGGATTTTTTTTAAAAAAAGCTTCGAAAGGGAACAGTTTTCACAGACAGTCAAAATTGCGTGCTTTTAATTTTTTTAAAAAAATTTTAACAAAATTTTTTTGATTGAACAATATAAAAAATTTCTCGTTAAAACCGAGTTCTGCTTTTAACATTAAACCACCCTTTCATTGAAAATGTCCTGGATAACCCTGGTTCTCGTTACATGAGGGTTCGCAATAAACGAGTGAGATCATATATTACTTAAAATCCAGAGCTAAAACAAAATCATTAACAGTTGACCTGCCATTCACACACTAGCAGATGAAAAAAATGATTCATCTCATTAATGAAGAAGAAGAGCATAGCACTGACACTGCTATTCATTCATGCATATTTTGAAGGTTAACATGATCGTCGTGAATGATGAAATGGTTCATAAGGTACACGTTCACTTACTTAAGAAGGCTGAAAGGTCAAAAGATACTATAATCCTTATTACAAATTGTAACTTCTGACCCTGGCCTTCAATCGCTATAGAAGATTCATTTTCTTTAAGATTGATTGCATCATGCTTTTAACACACACAACGTTAAAAGTATAATGCAATTCAATTTCAGGCTTAGATTTTTTTTTAAAATATAAATTAGAGTAGTTTTTATTTGCTTTCTCTTTGATCAGGGAAAAAAAATATTTAAAAAAAAATATAAATTTTGGCAGTTAACAGAATCATTGAATTTTAACCAAACTGTGCGATAAAAATACATTAGGTAAAATCTTTGATATCGTTCTTAGTTTTCTATCAAATAATCCAAACTAATTCATGATTCCTACTTAATTTAAGAAATATAATTCTTAGAATTTTCTAGGTATTTCAGGAAAACTTCGCACAATTGCCGAACCTATATTTACCTGCAAAAAAATTTCATTCGATAAACACATTTCCTAATTGCTAAGACAAATATTCAATTTTGTAACAGGTCTGTATCCCTACATGAACACTTCGTGTAAAAATTCTATAAAATTTTGGAACTTTTACAGGGAATCTCATTGTCTTTACTTGAATCTCAATGCTTGATTACTGTTACCGACAGAACCTGAAAGATTGGCCATTTTCAAGGCATATCACAAGAATTTTCCAAGATTGTGAAGGAAAAAAATCAATAATGATTTCAGTTTTCTTTTATTTTTCCTGACTCGTGGGAATTCCGTAATTTGTTAAGTTAATAACGCACTGATTAACATTTGAAATATTAGGTTCCTTAATATTTTGTCCAAAAGTTTTTTTTAATTTTTTTTTAAATCATTAGCTAAAGAAATTGTTTATTTTCCTCAGTTGGGTATTTTTGTAAGTTACACAAAATTTGGAAGGCAAAACACTCGAATTTGAAAATAGTACCTAAGCTTAAAATAAAGCAATTTTAACAGCTAATGATGTTCATTGCTTGCCGAAAAGTAGAAATTGGCATCATATTCCTATTTTTTATTTACATAATTGAATTTAAAAACTCGTGTTTCGAAAAAATGTAAATTTTCACGACAAAAACTCTCCGCTCTCCATTAAAATATCAAAATTTACTATAAAATACTTTCAAACTTTTATTCACACATATTTACAAGATGTTTTTCAAAATTAAATGCATAAAGACTGCACAGAAAATCCATACCGGTTAATTCATATTTCAAATAACGTAAACATGAACTCTACATTCAACCAAAATAATTAGTCAATTAAAATAAATAGAGTTAAGTGCAGGTACAGTTTTGATTTAATGCATAGAGAATTCATATAAGTTCTTTGAAATAACATAACTAAAATATAAATCCTAAATTCAATCCAGAATAATGGGTATAAAAGGAACTATTGTCACGTGCAGAAAAAGATTAGGTTTAATGCTTAGAAAATTCATATAAGTTCTTTGAAATAACGTAGCTGAAATATAAACCTTAAATTCAATCTAAAATAATAGGTATAAAAGGAACTATTGTCATGTGCAGAGAAAGATTAGGTTCAATGCTTAGAAAATTCGTTCATAAAAATTAAAGCTTTTAAAAATTCTTTAAAATTAATCTAGAATGATTAACAGTAGATTGATATTAACAGTCAAGGGTGATTAACAGTTTAAAAAATACTAATATCATGTGTGGAAAGTATTTTGATTTAATGTATAGATAAACAGCCCACTGATTTCAAGAATAAATGACAGCAAGAATAGATGACTGTCTTCGGAAAAGCATACTCTCATAAATTGACATGAAGTTAGAGCATTTTGAAAAGTCGAAACAGACAGAAAGGTGTATGTTGCAAGCATTTTACCTTCTACATCATGTTTGTGTAGATCCACTTTCCCCTGGGAAGGGGAAAAAATGGAAAACAAATATAAATTATACAGCAAAAAAGATCTAAGAATAGTTTTTCTCCCTCTTTCTCTATTATTCACCTTGGGATTTGAGAAAAGAATTTTCACTACGGCCCTGACCTGCTCAAAAATGGTCCAAGATCTGATATTTTAAGGGGACTCTTCAAGTCAATTAGCTATTTTTTTTAAAAAAAGAAATAACTGTTAATAAAAGAAAAAAACTTTTTTTTCAGTACCTTGATCTATTAAGAAAAGATAACGTCAAATAAAAAAAACTTTTTTTCTATCACTATTTCGGCAATGTCACGTCACCAGCAGAAATTACAATTCATTGTATAGCTTAAGGTCTTTCTAATAAATAAGAACAAAACTATTTTTTATCAGTTTAAATTAAATATAAAGATATTTCAGACATAGATATAATGTACAAAAACTTTACATATTTACAATATTTTATTTTTTATTTACTTTTGACTAAAATGTTTAATTAGCATTAGTCACATGCTAGGCGAACAGAGGAATTGCCAATTCGTATTCATAGAATCACTCACATAAAACAAACACTAACACAAGAAAATTTTAATTATAAATAATGAGAATTCGACTTCCAGTATATCTGCAGTGCATGCGATTGGGAAAAAGTGTTTGCCTAAATTTTTAACATTGCTTTCTCTAAAACTATTAAAGTTGAAATAAATATCGAAATACGGCATCTAATTATCCCTCTCCTTTCATATTTTTATGCAAAGTAAGAACGAAAGCAATTCTATCTATCATGTATTTTTCATGAAGAATACTGAACTTCAAAATACTTTTTTACACATCTCTCATTAATGGCACTAGTATTTTCACATCTGAAATAAAATAAAAAAAATTCCATTTGCCATATATCTAGGATTTTTTTTATATTTTTAAATATCTTAGCTTGTTTACAAGTCAGCTAAATTTAAATTGGTAAAGAAAGGTTTATGAAAATTATATATATATATATATATATTTTATTTTTCCTGCCTTAAATTTTTACGATAAACATTAAATTTGCAATAAAAAAATAAAATACTGGTCCCCTGATTGTAAGAACATTTTACCGTAAGTTTTCAGTTATTTTTTCCCAACAGTTTGCCATGATTTTTAATGTGCTAACTGTAAAATATTTTTCCTGAAATTGACCGTAAGTTATCATATTTACTGGTCCATACGAAAAATAAAATGGAGTAGTGAAGGTTGATCAGCACTGATTAGTTTTAATCGGTCAGCAAAAGTGATTAAAATTATATTAGCTGGGAACACATCCATGAGCAAAAGCAATTTTTTACTGGTTTTTAATGAAGAATATTAGGATGATTCATTAATCCATAAATTAAGAACTATAGGGTTATAAGTGACATTCTAGAAAAACGTAAAATTTTGAGTTTAAAAACGTGTTATGGTCAGTTGTCTGTAAATTTTTTTCTTCTTCTGATAGATCATTAAATGATCCATTTTTAATGAGAAAATTTGTTTTGCAAATAACTTTCTTTCTGTTGCTGTGGTTTCTACAACTGTTCTTAAATTCCTTATATCTTCAACTAATACGCTCTTCAATCTTTTCCACTAAATTTTTATGCATGAAAATTGAATATTTCCAACATGAGCCGTGATGGCTCAGGGGATAGAGTGTTTGCCTCCCAATGAGGTGAACCGGCTTCGAATCCCACCGATTTCTGGTCGATGCGAAACCGCATCCGGCTTGCACCAACCACAGTGCTGAAGTGAAATATTCTCAGTGGTAAACGGATCATGAGTTAGAGTCCCCTTGCTGCCGGACTAACCATGGGAAGTTCTCGTGGTCTTCCTCTCCATATAACTTAAATGAAGGTTAGTTCCACCAAAAAGTCCTCCATGAAGGCCTGTACTTTATCCAGGAGTTCCCTTGTCTTTTGGATTTGATTCAAAATTACAAGGCTACGGAGTTGAACA